TTGAAGCCGACTCCTCCCACCCTGGACACTCTCTGTTCCAGCTACTCCCCTCCGGCAGAAGGCTGCGGTCCATCAGGACCAAAACCTCACGCCACAAAAACAGTTTCTTCCCATCCGCTGCTGGCTTCTTCAACAAGGCCAGGGGCTCAAACTGACTTTAACGCTCCAACTGACTTTAACACAATATCTGCACAATGACACCCTGCCATATTTGCATTATGTTACCCTATTTGCATTATTGTAATTTTATATTGTATATTATAGCTATTGTATATTTTAGATTTTATTTTGTTCAATTTTTACATAGTTTAGCTCCGTAATATTAGTTAGACTTGTACCTTTTAGTATAGTTAGACTTGTAAACCACTTATTTAAGATTTAAGATTCCTATATGTTGAATGTATGCACCTTCCGGCCAAAGTAAATACCTTGTCTGTGCGAACTTTCATGGCGAATAAAACCCCTTTCTGATTCTGATCTACATCTACAGAACATGAAGAAGCAGTGGCATCTACATCTGCAGAACGTGAAGAACCAGTGGCATCTACGTCTGCAGAACATGAAGAACCAGTGGCATCTACGTCTGCAGAATATGAAGAACCAGTGGCATCTCCATCTGCAGGACATGAAGAACCAGTGGCATCTACGTCTGCAGAACATGAAGAGCCAGTGGCATCTACATCTGCAGAACATGAATAGCCAGTGGCATCTACATCTGCAGAACATGAAGAATCAATGGCATCTACATCTGCAGAACGTGAAGAACCAGTAGTGTCTACATCTGTAGAACGTGAAGAACCAGTGGCATCTACATCTGCAGAACATGAAGAACCAGTGGCATCTACGTCTGCAGAATAGGAAGAACCAGTGACATCTCCATCTGCAGAACATGAAGAACCAGTGGCATCTACATTTACAGAACATGAAGAATCGGTGGCATCTACATCTGCAGAACATGAAGAACCAGTCGCATCTACGTCTGCAGGACATGAAGGACCAGTGGCATCTACGCCTGCCTAACTTAAATAACCAGTGACATCTACAGAACATGAAGAATCAATGGCATCTGCAGAACATGAAGAACCAGTGGCATCTACATCTGCAGAACATGAATAAGCAGTGGCATCTACATTTACAGAACATGAAGAATCAGTGGCATCTACATCTGCAGAACATGAAGAACCAGTGGCATCTACATCTGCAGAACGTGAAGAACCAGTGGCATCTACGTCTGCAGAACATGAAGAAACAGTGGCATCTACATCTACAGAACATGAAGAACCAGTGGCATCTACATCTGCTGAATAGTGATATCAGAGCACGACTATACAAGGGGGAGTGACGTGAGTGAAGGTTTTGGGTCGCCAGCAAGAGGGATGAGACTAAGGGTGGCAGTTTTACGGCCGGGGCAGTAAGGAGGAAGACTTTAATATGACGTTAATAATCATCGAGGTGACTCGTCTCCACTGCCAATGTAGTGGTGTGGGGGGGGGGGGCTTAACTGGTGAAAATAAAAAAAAGGCTATTAGTTTTCGTTCAAATTATAGCTCAACAAAGTGGCTTACCCAGCAACACGAAACATAATATATTTAAATTTTACCAACAAAAATGAAATTATTGACATTTACTTTAGACGTGCGACGCTCGGGAGGCCTCCATCGCCCCCTTCTTCCCCTCGTGGCTCTTCATGTGGCTGCGCAGGAACTTGGGGTGCACGAAGCCCCGGCCGCACATGGGGCAGGCGTGCGGCCTCTTGCCCGTGTGGATCATCGCGTGAATCCTGAGGTACGAGCGGTCTGCATAGAACTTTCCGCACTTTCCGCACCGCGTGTGGCTGCTCGCCCACGTGGGTGCCCACATGGCGCCTCAGCTCCGACGGGCGCATGAAGCCGGCGTCGCACTTCGGGCAGCCGTGGGGCCGCTCGCCCGTGTGGGTGTATTCCATGGAATACATATTATCTGGTCTTGTGTGATTGCCCTATTATTCTTGTATCTCTTTTGAGTTACCCCCGGTCTAATACCTCGTGATTATTTGACTTATGTTTAACCAAGATTTATAATGTACCATTAGATGTTACCTCCGGTATTTCAAGGGTTTTATTAACTTTTGCTCCCTGTCTGTATCCAGGGATCCGTGCTTTTTATTCTCGAGTTATATTTTGATATCCTGAGGTTGGAGATGTAATTAAGTTTTCACTTAAGCTTTCTTGACTGACAGAATTCATATTGCTTGGTTCTCTTGGTAAAGTCACGTAGATAGAAAGATACAATAAGAAATAAAATAAGTAATACTGCATCATTAGACCTCCTTTGCCAGTACCAAAATATAATAATAGGGTTTTTCCCCTTTTTTTCTGGCAACAAAACTGAAACCTTTTTACAAGGATTCATGTCTGCATTAACCACAATACTTGCAGTCAAAATGCAAACAAAAACACACTATGATAATATATGCATTGTCCTTGAAACGGATTGATCCGTCCCTTGGTGTGGTTCTTTCGGTAAAGGCGTTAGAATTTTATTGTTTTATATTTTTATTATTTTATTGTTTCCCTTCTACGTGAAAGCTTTAAATCACAATTTACACTCTACATTCACAAAAGATAGCCGCAATTACTCGGGCAACGCCAGGTATTTTCCATCAGTAAGAAATAATAACTGTTTTCTACGTTTATTGTCAGTAAAATATTGTTTCTCAAATTATATTAATATAAATCATATCTATGAATTACATTAATATAACATTTTGATTTAAAGCTTTCATGACTGCAGGGATTCATATTTTTGGTTCTTTCGGTAAAGTCACGTAGAAGGGACACAATAAAATAATAAAAATAAAACAATAAAATCGTCACGACGTTTCGAATGCAACACAAGCAATCATCATCAGGTGTGAAATCCACAGCAAGAAAATAAAAAAAAAAAGTGGCGGTTTTTTCTTAACGTCAACACCACGGACAGCGATTTTGGCAGTTGTTCAGATGGACGAGTCCATCTATGTTCAGAAAAGAGGAGGGTGGAGAGGAAGAGAATGGAATGCGGTCTGGAAGTCACCGTAAGCGTAAAATAAATCAATTCAGACCCGAAACCGCCACGTTTTTTTAAAATGTTCTTGCTGTGGATTTCACACCTGATGATGATTGCTTGTGCTGCAGTCGAAACGTCGTGATAATTTTATTGTTTGATATTTTTATTTTTTGTTTCCCTTCTACGTGACTTTACCGAAAGAACCAAGAACACATTAATATAATTTGATATAAAATGTCGATGTATTAAACACATTCCTGCAGAGGGAGCTGGTAGGAACGTTGGGTTGCTCGGTCAATGGCCAGGATCAAAGGCGGCGTGGTGTATTCCGCAAATATGGCCGACTGTTAGGGCGGGCACAAGCCGGCGTGAGTAGGTTAAACGTTGAGTTTTAAAAGGGCACCACGGGGTGACCAGCCCCTTCCCACCCAGCCCCACCCCCCACCTAGCCCCTCCCTCCCCTCTCCACCCAGCCCCTCCCCACCCTCCCCACCCAGCCCCTCGCCACCCTCCCCTCTCCACCCAGCCCCACCCCTCCCATTTTTGGATGCACGACGGACGGACACAATAATCCCCTGTGGGCTGGTGTAACCAGGAGGTTCCTACCAGTATTACTAATTTAATAACTAGGGCATTGTTTCGTTTATGCAGTATTACTCGGGACGGTAAGAGGCACTACAGGTGCTTTGGGCAGATGCTTGATGTCAAATGTTAAAATGTTTCTTCTTAAAAAGTTTGTTAAATAATTTGTACGTTAAACGTTCTTGGATATGATAAGTGGCTGCTATCATAATCGAGATTCGGGCTGACTCCTTACTGAGAAAGCGAGCTGCGGTGCGGTGACGTGGAGGGTGTTTCTGATTGCTACTGCATACCTGTAAACCCATATGATTTTACCCCGTATTCTTGTACAGGGAGTTTTTAGGTCTATATGGGCATACAGCCGTTTCAATACGGGGAAAAAAAATGATGATGTTTTTTGTCTATTTGTTTGTGTTTCTCCCTTGTCATGGGACTTTGTCGGATGAACGTTGAGATTATAAGGTGCACGGGGTGACCAATGATGTCTGATTGGTCTGTAATAAGGTAAGGCACTGATAGGCGGTCGACATGTATGCAGATACACAACTGTTCTTCAGAAAAGCACTTTGAAATGAAGTTTCACCATGATCGCAACCCCCCCCCCCCCCCCCCCCCCGGTGCTCAGGTCTTGCAGTCGCCCACAAAGCAGAGTCCATAGCCATCGTCTCAGAACTTGTTTTATTTGTATCATCATCGTTGTTGTTGCTGCTGATTATTCAGCCGACCTGTCCCCCTCTCAAGGAGAGGGGGAGCAGGAGGAGAGGGGACAGGGTGGACCGGCTACACCTGTAAGCTTGGCACTTCACTGTTATTGGCCATCGCCGTTTCCTGATTAGGTCCCGTTTACTCTCCATTGGTCAGCTCTGTGCACTTCTTTAAGGCATCGCCACTTCCTCTTTAGTTCCCGCCTCTTCCTGTTTAGGCCACGCCTCTTCCGGTTCATGACACACCTTTCCGTTTAGGACACGCCTTTTCTTGTTTAGGCCACGCCTTGTCCTGTTTAGGCCACACCTTTTCCTGTTTCGGCCATGCCCCCTCTTTGTTTAGGCCCCGCCCCTTCCCCCCGGATGGGGGGTAGGGCTGGTTTGGGTGGTTGGTGGCTGTTGTGGAATGGAGGGTGAGCGAGCAGGCAGCAGTAGGGGCAGTGGTGGGTGTGGGCGTTAGAGGCTTGGGGTGTGCGGGGGTCGTAAGAGGTCGGGGTGGATGGCGACTTCACCACGACAATCAGAATCCCTCTAAAGAGCGACGAAATGACGAACAATCCCTCCGATCTGAGCCTAACCCTACCGGCCGCCTTCGCGTAGATTCCCCCTCCCTCGCCAATACACGGAGAGCGCAAAGCCGCCGGTGGAAGCCGACCCTCCGGTCGCGGCTGCCCGCACCGATACCAGTCAGCGACCGGCGTGCGTCGCCATGTGACGCTTGAGGACCTTGGCGTGCGTGAAGCTCTTTGCGCACACGCGGCACCGGTGAGGGTCCTCGCCGTTGTGCATCGCAACGTGGCTCCTGAGGTACGACGGGTCGGCGTAGCGCTTGCCGCACACGGGGCACTCGTGCGGCCGCTCCCCCGTGTGCGTGCGCGCGTGCACCTTGAGGTACGACGCCTGCGCGAAGCCACAGCCGCACACGCCGCAGCGATGCGGCCGCTCGCCCGTGTGCGTGCGCATGTGGCCCCGCAGCACCGACGCCTGCATGAAGCCGCCGCCGCAGACGTCGCAGCGGTGGGGGCGTTCGCCCGTGTGCGTGCGCATGTGCACCTTGAGCTTGGACGGGCAGATGAAGCCCTTGCCGCACAGGCGGCAGGCGCTGGGCTTCTCGCCCGTGTGGCTCAGCTCGTGGACCTTGAGGTGGACCGACTGGATGAAGCCCTTGCCGCACGCCTGACACCTGTAGGGCCTCTCGCCCGTGTGGGTCATTCACGTGGTTCCTGAGGTGGGCCGCGCGGACGAAGCCCTTGCCGCACGTGGGGCAGGCGTGCGGCAGGGCCTCTCCGGCCGTCTTGGCGGGCGGGGAGGTTTGCGGCGGGGCGGGGTTGCCGCCATCGCGCGTCTCTGCGTGCGACCGCAGGAGGAGGTGGCGCCGGGAGCCCCCGCTAGCGGGAAGCTCCTTCGTCCGAAGCTGGCTGACAAAGGCGTCGGAAGCCTCCTCCTCCTCCCCCGAGGCCACACGAAGGACAGCCGGGTGACCCCTCGGGACGTCGCACGCCGCCCCCGCTGCTCCTGCCGGGGGAGAACGTTTTGATTGGCCGTGAGAACTGTCTGTTGTGCGTGTTGTGTGTGCGTTGTGTGTGTGTGTTTTGTGGGCGTTGTGTGTGCATTGTGTGTGCCTTGTGTGTGCTGAGTGTGTGTGTGTGGAGAGACACAGACTCCAAATATACAGCAGGCGTAGTCAGGCTCGGGACCGAACCCACGACCTCCTGCAGATCAGGCGAGGGAGTTTACATCACCTAGCCACCACGGCTGCCCTACAGGGAGGCTCCCTCCATAATTACCTTCACCATCATCCTCCTCCACCTCCACCTCGATCTCCGCCACGCCTGACGGGGCCGTCCTCCAGTCTCCCGCACACGCGACCCGGCAATCTCCTCCTTCGCGCCTCGCCCCGGAAGCATCGCCGCCTCCGCCACCATCGGCGCGACCGCCACAGTCACCGCCACCGTCAGCCGCCGCCGCGAGCCCCTTCAGGACTCCTCCGTCGGCCTGGAGGTCCACCTTGACGACACGAAGGCCGTGGCGCTCCCCTCCAAGTCCCTCCGTGTCCGGCGCCTGTCCTCGGAGCTCCTCCTTCACCCGAACGCCGGCTCCCAGCGCTGAGTGGGGGGGGGGGGGTGGAATGAAGAGCGAAGGGGTTGAGGAGTGGGTGGGGGGGGGGGGAACACAGAGACGGACCAATTACGCCCAACGAATCCCTCCTCAGAACCGCAGCAGGCGGAGAGGGAAGGGGGGTAATCCGATAATCTACAAAGCTCTTTACCTTGTGTGCAACCAAAACAAACTCACGAATAAATAAATAAACGCACCATAGGATGGCAAAGTGCAGGAAAGGTAAGCAAATCACGAACACAAAATTCGAAGTTAACTTTTTGTTATTTTACCAAGTAAAGCCCACTGCTAGAAATGTCAACACGACGACGATGATGATATCAGCCGCTAGGTTGAGCTACTATCATTGTGGTGATGGTTTGACTCAGGGGCTTGATGAGGATGAGTCTCTATGGGTCTTAATTCTAGATTTGAAGCTTTCGTGACTGCAAGGATTCATACTCTTGGGTTTTTTCAGTAAAGTCACGTAGGTAAAAAATAATAATAAAATAAAACAATAAAAAATGAAAATAACTCAATTAAATCACGACGTTTCGGAGGCAACACAAGTATCCATCTTCAGGTGGGACCGTCACAGCCAAATTTACTGTAATCAAGTGAAGAGAAATCCAAGGGACCATATCTTATATACTGAATACAGTAAATTTGGCTGTGACAGTCCCACCTGAAAACGGAGACTTGTGTTGCCTCCGAAACGTCGTGATTTAATTGAGTTATTTTCATTTATCATTATTTATTATTATTATTTTATTATTATTATTTTTAACCTAAGTGACTTTACCAAAAAAACCAAAGAGTATGAATCCTTGCAGTCACAAAAGCTTCAAATCTAGAACCTAGGATGGAATGCGCAATTGTGCATTTGAATTGTTATTAGTTTAAATAGTTATCACTGCCTACTACGATAAAACCTGGCAGCAACTTCCTGACGATGGAGCGCTGAGACCTGGGTGGGCCTGACCTGGTCTAAGTAAATAATTAAAAGCCTTCGTTTACTTCAGATTTAGTAACATTGCAATCGCAACGAGATGTAATAGCTGTTGATCATCATTGCCTAGAAGAGGAATGGGAGGCGGTAGAGTTCGAGCTCAGCAGAGGGAACTCACGGTCATCGGAGTCTTCCGTCTTCACTGTCACCTTGAGCCACGCGTCACTCCAAGGGTTCTCGTCGCTACCATCTTCATTGTCGCCGTCTTCTTCTTCTCGCTTAACGACGAAAGGCTCCACGGGCAGAGAGGAAGCAGCCTCCTCCTTCTCCTCCACCTCCTCACCTGTGGCGAGCGAAACGCAGCAGAGACTCGGACTGCTGCTGTGCTGAGTCGATGGCAGTGTTGAGTCTATGGGCAGTGTTGAGTCTATGGTGCAGTGTTGAGTTTATGGGCAGTGTTGAGTCTATGGCAGTGCTGAGTCCATGGGTGGCAGTGCTGAGTCTATGGCAGTGTTGAGTCTATGGGCAGTGTTGAGTCTTTGGTGTAGTGTTGAGTCTATGGGCAGTGCTGAGTCTATGGGCAGTGTTGAGTCTATGGGCAGTGCTGAGTCTATGGGCAGTGTTGAGTCTATGGGCAGTGTTGAGTCTTTGGTGTAGTGTTGAGTCTATGGGCAGTGCTGAGTCTATGGGCAGTGTTGAGTCTATGGGCAGTGTTGAGTCTATGGGCAGTGCCGAGTCTATGGGCAGTGCCGAGTCTATGGGCAGTGCCGAGTCTATGGGCAGTGCCGAGTCTATGGGCAGTGCCGAGTCTATGGGCAGTGCCGAGTCTATGGGCAGTGCCGAGTCTATGGGCAGTGCCGAGTCTATGGGCAGTGCCGAGTCTATGGGCAGTGTTGAGTCTATGGGCAGTGTTGAGTCTATGGGCAGTGTTGAGTCTATGGGCAGTGTTGAGTCTATGGGCAGTGTTGAGTCTATGGGCAGTGTTGAGTCTATGGGCAGTGTTGAGTCTATGGCAGTGTTGGGTCTATGGGCAGTGCTGAGTCTATGGGCAGTGCTGAGTCTATGGGCAGTGCTGAGTCTATGGGCAGTGCTGAGTCTATGGGCAGTGCTGAGTCCATGGGTGGCAGTGCTGAGACTATGGCAGTGCCGAGTCTATGGCAGTGCTCAGTCTATGGCAGTGCTGAGGCTATGGGTGGCAGTGTTGAGTCTATGGCAGTGCTGAGTCCATGGGTGGCAGTGCTGAGTCTATGGCAGTGCTGAGTCTATGGCAGTGCTGAGTCTATGGCAGTGCTGAGGCTATGGGTGGCAGTGTTGAGTCTGTGAAAGTGCTGAGTCTATGGCAGTGCTGAGTCTATGGACAGTGTTGAGTCTATGGCAGTGCTGAGTCTATGGCAGTGCTGAGTCCATGGGTGGCAGTGCTGAGTCTATGGCAGTGCTGAGTCTATGGGCAGTGTTGAGTCTATGGGCAGTGTTGAGTCTATGGGCAGTGCCGAGTCTATGGGCAGTGCCGAGTCTATGGGCAGTGCCGAGTCTATGGGCAGTGCCGAGTCTATGGGCAGTGCCGAGTCTATGGGCAGTGCCGAGTCTATGGGCAGTGCCGAGTCTATGGGCAGTAGTTGCCGAGTCTATGGGCAGTGTTGAGTCTATGGGCAGTGTTGAGTCTATGGGCAGTGTTGAGTCTATGGGCAGTGTTGGGTCTATGGGCAGTGCTGAGTCTATGGGCAGTGCTGAGTCTATGGGCAGTGCTGAGTCTATGGGCAGTGCTGAGTCTATGGGCAGTGCTGAGTCCATGGGTGGCAGTGCTGAGACTATGGCAGTGCTGAGTCTATGGCAGTGCTCAGTCTATGGCAGTGCTGAGGCTATGGGTGGCAGTGTTGAGTCTATGGCAGTGCTGAGTCCATGGGTGGCAGTGCTGAGTCTATGGCAGTGCTGAGTCTATGGCAGTGCTGAGTCTATGGCAGTGCTGAGTCTATGGGTGGCAGTGTTGAGTCTATGGCAGTGCTGAGTCCATGGGTGGCAGTGCTGAGTCTATGGCAGTGCTCAGTCTATGGCAGTGCTGAGGCTATGGGTGGCAGTGTTGAGTCTATGGCAGTGCTGAGTCTATGGCAGTGCTGAGTCTATGGCAGTGCTGAGGCTATGGGTGGCAGTGTTGAGTCTGTGAAAGTGCTGAGTCTATGGCAGTGCTGAGTCTATGGACAGTGTTGAGTCTATGGCAGTGCTGAGTCTATGGCAGTGCTGAGTCCATGGGTGGCAGTGCTGAGTCTATGGCAGTGCTGAGTCTATGGCAGTGCTGAGTTTATGAACAGTGTTGAGTCTATGGGCAGTGTTGAGTCTATGGTAGTGTTGAGTCTATGGGCAGTGCTGAGTCTATGGAGTCCTCACCCCCAGCCGTATCTCCGTCTCCGCTCCGTGCGTCCCCTTTGCGCGACATCTCACGGCCCCTGCGGTCTCCAGGAACTCCACGCCGCCGGACGGGAGACGATGGAGAGAGACGATAGAGGGAGATGATAACGGAGACTGCCTCCTCCTCCACCTCCCCTTCCTCTTCAACACGACAAAGACGCCAGTGGTGGTGGTGGTGAAGGAGCCAAGTTTATCTTACGCCTGTGATCATCACGAGAAGTGAGGGAGTGGGCGGGAGGAGGTCACGATTTATACATTTTTTCTTTTCAATTGCGCCCGAACCCCCCCCTCCTCCCCCGCCACACAACGGTGCCAAACCCACGGAGGGATTCCGATGTCAAGGCGGCAGCGCAAGGGGCCGAGGAACGGAGTGACCCCTCACAGAGGGGCACACGTGGCGTGGGGGAGCGACGGGACAGAGTGGAGTGGGCAATTGAGGCAAGCTGCACGCTGAACATCGCCAGCTGACCCCACAATCCACAGCCGATCCAATCAAGATCTACTTCGTGACGGTGATGACGGCGGTGATGGCGGTGGCCATGGTGCGTGCGAAGCCTTGGGGGTTCCCATCGATTCGGAGCTCCGCTCACCTACAGCTTTGGATCTCTCCCTTCCCTGCCCTCACTGCCCCTCTAAATTCGCCTGCGAGGCCAAAACGCAAGAGGCCACTTGCACCTGCGCCTAACATTTATGGCGCCTCTTGTACTCCAGAGTGAGAGTGAGTTGAGTTTGTATGTTCTCCCCCTGTTCTACAGAGTAAGTGAGTGGAGTTTGTGTGATCTCCCCGTTCTACAGAGAGAGTGAGTGGAGTTTGTATGATCTCCCCCTGTTCTATAGAGTGGAGTTTGTATGATCTCCCCCTGTTCTGCAGAGTGAGTGGAGTTTGTGTGATCTCCCTGTTCTACAGAGTGAGTGAGTGGAGTTGTATGATCTCCGCCTGTTCTGCAGAGTGAGTGAGTGAAGGTTGTGTGATCTCCCCCTGTTCTGCTGAGTGAGAGAGTAGAGTTTGTATGATCTCCCCCTGTTCTACAGAGTGAGTGAGTGGAGTGTGTATGATCTCCCCCTGTTCTGCAGAGTGAGTTAGTGGAGGTTGTGTGATCTCCCCATGTTCTACAGAGCGAGTGAGTGGAGTTTGTATGATCTCCCCCTGTTCTACAGAATGAGAGAGTGGAGTTTGTATGATCTCCCCCTGTTCTACTGAGTGGAGTTTGTATGATCTCCCCCTGTTCTACAGAGTGAGAGAGTGGAGTGTGTATGATCTCCCCCTGTTCTACAGAGTGAGAGATTGGAGTTTATATGATCCCCCTGTTCTACTGAGTGGAGTTTGTATGATCTCCCCCTGTTCTACAGAGTGAGAGAGTGGAGTTTGTATGATCTCCGCCTGTTCTGCAGAGTGAGTGAATGGAGGTTGTATGATCTCCCCCTGTTCTACAGAGTGAGAGAGTGGAGTTTGTATGATCTCTCCCTGTTCTACTGAGTGGAGTTTGTATGATCTCCCCCTGTTCTACAGAGTGAGAGAGTGGAGTTTGTATGATCTCCGCCTGTTCTGCAGAGTGAGAGAGTGGAGGTTGTATGATCTCCCCCTGTTTTACAGAGTGAGAGAGTGGAGTTTGTATGATCTCCCCCTGTTCTACAGAGTGAGAGATTGGAGTTTGTATGATCTCCCCCTGTTCTACTGAGTGGAGTTTGTATGATCTCCGCCTGTTCTGCAGAGTGAGTAAGTGGAGTTTGTATGATCTCCCCGTGTTCTACAGAGTGAGAGAGTGGAGTTTGTATGATCTCCCCGTGTTCTACAGAGTGAGAGAGTGCAGTTTGTATGATTTCCCCCTGTTCTGCAGAGTGAGAGAGTAGAGTTTGTATGATCTCCCCCTGTTCTACAGAGTGAGTGAGTGAGTGGAGTTTGTGTGATCTCCCCCTGTTCTACAGAGTGAGTGGAGTTTGTATGATCTCCCCCTGTTCTACAGAGTGAGTGAGTGGAGTTTGTGTGATCTCCCCCTGTTCTACAGAGTGAGTGGAGTTTGTATGATCTCCCCCTGTTCTACAGAGTGAGTGAGTGGAGTTTGTATGATCTCCCCCTGTTCGACAGAGTGAGTGAGTGAGTGGAGTTTGTATGATCTCCCCCTGTTCTAAAGAGTGAGTGAGTGGAGTTTGTGTGATCTCCCCCTGTTCTACAGAGTGAGTGGAGTTTGTATGATCTCCCCCTGTTCTACAGAGTGAGTGAGTGGAGTTTGTGTGATCTCCCCCTGTTCTACAGAGTGAGTGAGTGGAGTTTGTGTGATCTCCCCCTGTTCTACTGAGTGGAGTTTGTATGATCTCCCCCTGTTCTACTGAGTGGAGTTTGTATGATCTCCCCCTGTTCCCCCGGTTTCCTCCCATAGGTAAACTCACGCACACACTGCAACTGACACTGGGCAATACCAAATCCCCAATGCTGACAAATCATCCTGCAAATCACTTGACCAAGATCTCAAAGCAAAAGCATCGCCAGCATCGCCCCCCTACTCTGGGTAATAATGAGTGAAGTAACCAACAACAACAACCATCACATCTACCCCTCTATTTAAGGGACGAAACAGGAGGATTTCTCCACAAATGCGCTGTCTGCCTGATGAAGCTGGTTGTAATTACTGGCGAAACGTCGTACTCAGATTGTAAATGTTGTGGCTTTGCTCTCCAAAACACCATACACTACACTATACGCTACACTATACACTACACTACTAAACACTACACTATACACTACACACTAGTGATGTACGAGTAACGAATTGGCACGTAACAAACCTTACTAACTGGCTCCAAACTCCAGACTTAAGACACGAATCATAGCAACAATTATCCACAAACTCCAGACTTAAAACACGAATCATAGCAACAATTATCCACAAACTCCAGACTTAAACCACGAATCACAACAACAATTATCTACAAACTCCAGACTTACAACACGAATCACAGCGACAATTATCTACAAACTCCAGACTTAACACACGAATCATCGCAACAATTATCTCCAAACTCCAGACTTAAAACACGAATCAACGCAGGAATTATCTCCAAACTTCAGACTGAAACCACGAATCATAGCGACAATTATCTCCAAACTCCAGACTTAAAACACGAATCACAGCAACAATTATCTCCAAACTCCAGACTTGAAACACGAATCACAGCAACAATTATCTCCAAACTCCAGACTTAAGACACGAATCATCGCAAAAATTATCTCCACAAACTCCAGACTTACAACACGAATCTTAGCAACAATTATCTCCAAACTCCAGAATTAAAAAACGAATCATAGCAACAATTATCTCCAAACTCCAGACTTAAAACACGAATCACAGCGACAATTATCTACAAACTCAAGACTTAAAACACGAATCATAGCAACAATTATCTCAAAACTCCAGACTTAACACACGAATCATCGCAACAATTATCTCCAAACTCCAGACTTAAAACACGAATCAACGCAGGAATTATCTCCAAACTCCAGACTTAAACCACGAATCATAGCGACAATTATCTCCAAACTCCAGACTTGAAACACGAATCACAGCAACAATTATCTCCAAACTCCAGACTTAAGACACGAATCATCGCAACAATTATCTCCACAAACTCCAGACTTACAACACGAATCTTAGCAACAATTATCTTCAAACTCCAGAATTAAAAAACGAATCATAGCAACAATTATCTCCAAACTCCAGACTTAAAACACTAATCACAGCTACAATTATCTCCACAAACTCCAGACTTACAACACGAATCATAGCAACAATTATCTCCAAACTCCAGACTTACAACACGAATCACAGCGACAATTATCTACAAACTCCAGACTTAACACACGAATCATCGCAACAATTATCTACAAACTCCAGACTTAAAACACGAATCACAGGGACAATTACCTCCAAACTCCAAACTTAAAACACGAATCACAGTGATAATTATCTCCAAACTCCAGACTTAAAACACGAATCATCGCAGGAATTATCTCCAAACTCCAGACAAACCACGAATCATAGCGACAATTATCTCCAAACTCCAGACTTGAAACACGAATCACAGCAACAATTATCTCCAAACTCCAGACTTACAACACGAATGACAGCGACAATTATCTCCACAAACTCCAGACTTACAACACGAATGACAGCGACAATTATCTCCACAAACTCCAGACGCCCCTCGATTCTACACCGCACGGATTGTCCCGTGCTGAGGATTCACCAACCCACAAACAAACATCGCCGATGACTCAAAATGTTGTTACCCTGCACCAGGAGGAGGGGGGGGAGCAGGGGGAGGAGGGGGTGCAGGGGGAGGGGGGAGGAGAGAGGGGGGGAGCAGGGGGGAGCAGGGGGGAGCAGGGGGGAGGAGGAGGGGAGGGGGAGCAGGGGGAGGAGGGAGCAGGACGGGGGGAGGGAGAGGAGGGGGGGGAGGGAGAGGAGGGGGAGGAAGAGGGGGGGGCAGGGGAGGAAGAGGGGGGGGCATGGGGGGGGGGGGGGGCAGGGGGGGGAGAAGGGGGAGAGGGATCAGGGTCGACCCGAGGTGGCCACTCGCCCCCAGCGCCCTCCGCTCGCTCGGTCGCGGGGACTCCCAGCATGAGACGGATCAGATGAGGAGGATCAGCAGGGGGAGGGTCGATGCGGTGGGAGCGGGGTAGGTGGGAGGGGCGATCATGGTGGGGGTGGGGCCTATGACGTGCCGAGTGACCCCGTCTCGTGCGTCCAAGTGACCCGTTTCACGCCGCGTTTAGTCGTCCGAGTGACCCGTTTCACGTCGCGTTTAGTCGTCCAAGTGACCCGTTTTACGCCGCGTTTAGTCGTCCAAGTGACCCGTTTCACGCCGCGTTTAGTCGCCCGAGTAACCCGTTTCACGCCGCGTGTAGTCGTCCAAGTGACCCGTTTCACGCCGCGTGTAGTCGTCCAAGTGACCCGTTTCACGCCGCGTCTAGTCGTCCAAGCGACCCGTTTCACGCCGCGTTTAGTCGCCCGAGTAACCCGTTTCACGCTGCGTTTAGTCGCCCGAGAGACCCGTTTCACGCCGCGTGTAGTCGTCCAAGTGACCCGTTTCACGCCGCGTCTAGTCGTCCAAGCGACCCGTTTCACGCCGCGTTTAGTCGTCCGTCTCGTGTCTCCACCTCGTCCCCACCACCTCCTCACGCTCCTCCGAGTGGTCGGGGTGGCCATCATCCAGCAGTGGATAGGTCATGGCCGGTGGTGCTGTTGGCGGTGGTGCAGGAGAACTCGCCACCGCCGCGTTCGGTGTACGGCAGGCGACGTTTCACCCAGCCACTCACCCAGCCGCTCACTCACCCAGCCACTCACCCAGCCACTCACTCACCCAGCCACTCACCCACCCACTCACCCACCCACCCACTCACTCACCCACTCACTCACCCACCCACTCACCCACCCACTCACCCACTCACTCACCCACTCACCCACTCACCCACTCACTCACCCACTAACTCACCCACCCACTCACCAACTCACCCACTAACTCACCCACCCACTCACTCACCCACCCACCCACTCAGTCACTCACCCACCCACTCAGTCACTCACCCACCCACTCAGTCACTCACCCACCCACTCATCCATTTACCCACCCACTACCTCACCCACCAACTCACCCACCCACTCATCCACCCACTCACCAACTCACTCACCCACTCACTCACCCACCCACTCACCCACCCAATCACTCACCCACTCACCGACTCACCCACTCACTCACCCACCCACTCACCCACCCACTCACCCACCCACTCACTCACCCACCCCACCCACTCACTCACCCACCCACCCAGTCACTCACCCACCCACTCATCCACCCACTCACCCACCCACTCACCCACTCACCCACCCACTCATCCACTCACTCACCCACTAACTCACTCACCCACTCACCCACCCACCCACTCACTCACTCACCCACTCACCCACCCACTCACCCACTCACTCACCGACTCACCCACTCACCCACCCACTCACTCACTCACTCACCCACTCACTCACCCACTAACTCGCCCACCCACTCACCCACTCACCCACCCACTCACCCACTCACACACCCACCCACTCACCCATCCACCCACTCACCCACCCACTCATCCACCCACTCACCCACCCACTCACCCACTCACACACCCACCCACTCACCCACCCACTCACCCATCCACCCACTCGCTCACTCACCCAACCACTCGTCCACCCACCCACACACCCACCCACTCACCCACCCACTCACCCATCCACCCAGTCACTCACCCACCCACTCATCCACCCACCCACTCACCTACCCACTCACCCACCCACCCACTCACCAACTCACCCACCCACTCACCCACCCACTCACCCACACACTCACCCACTCACCCACCCACTCACCCACTCACCCAGCCACCCACTCACTCACCCAGCCACCCACTCACCCACTCACCCACTCACTCACCCACCCACTCACTCACCCACTCACTCACCCACTCAGCCACCCACCCACTCACCCACCCACCCACTCACCCACCAACTCACTCACCCAGTGCTGAGTCTATGGGCAGTGTTGAGTCTATGGTGCATTGTTGAGTCTATGGGTAGAGTTGAGTCTATGGGCAGGGTTAAGTCTATGGGCAGGGTTGAGTCTATTGTGCAGTGCTGAGTCTATGGGCAGTGCTGAGTCTATGGGCAGTGTTGAGTCTATGGGCAGTGTTGAGTCTATGGGCAGTGCTGAGTCTATGGCAGTGTTGAGTCTATGGGTAGTGCTGAGTCTATGGGCAGTGCTGAGTCTATGGCAGTGCTGAGTCTATAGTGAGTGCGAGGGTGAGTGGGTTAGTGGGTGGGTGAGTGAGTGGATGAGTGAGTGGGTGAGTGAGTGGCTGTGTTGAGTCTATGGGCAGTGTTGAGTCTATGGGCAGTGTTGAATCTATGGGCAGTGCTGAGTCTATGGGCAGTGTTGAGTCGATGGCAGTGCTGAGTCTATGGGTATGACATTGTGTTAACGTGAGCGAATTATCTGTTTATGTGCGGTTGACAGGCGTCGACTTGTGATTAACACCTCAGAGGAGTCTCCATCATCATCGCGAGGAGCTGCATGAGACCGCGGGGGCCGTGAGATGTCACGCAGAGGGGACGCACAGAGCGGAGACGGAGACACGGCTGGGGGTGATGATGACTCCATAGACTCAGCACTGCCATAGACTCAACACTGCCCCATAGACTCAACACTACCCATAGACTCAGCACTGCCATAGACTCAACACTGCACCATAGACTCAGCACTGCCCATAGACTCAGCACTGCCCATAGATTCAACACTGCCCATAGACTCAGCATTGCCCATAGACTCAGCACTGCCATAGACTCAACACTACCCATAGACTCAGCATTGCCCATAGACTCAGCACTGCACCATAGACTCAACACTACCCATAGACTCAGCATTGCCCATAGACTCAACACTGCCCATAGACTCAACACTACCTATAGACTCAACACTGCCCATAGACTCAACACTGCCATAGACTCAACACTGCCATAGACTCAACACTGCCATAGACTCAGCACTGCCATAGACTCAACACTGCCCATAGACTCAGCACTGCCCACAGACTCAGCACTGTCATAGACTCAGCACTGCCCATAGACTCAGCACTGTCATAGACTCAACACTGCCCATAGACTCAACACTGCCCATAGACTCAACACTGCCCATAGACTCAGCACTGCCCATAGACTCAACACTGCACCATAGACTCAGCACTGCCCATAGACTTCGCTCACGTTAACACAATGTCATACCCATAGACTCAGCACTGCCCATAGACTCAGCACTGTCATAGACTCAACACTGCCCACAGACTCAGCACTGCCATAGACTCAACACTGCCCATAGACTCAGCACTGCCCATAGACTCAGCACTGCCATAGACTCAACACTGCCCATAGACTCAACACTGCCCATAGACTCAGCACTGCCATAGACTCAGCACTGCCATAGACTCAACACTGCCCATAAACTCAACACTGCCCATAGACTCAGCACTGCCATAGACTCAGCACTGCCCACAGACTCAGCACTGTCATAGACTCAACACTGCCCATAGACTCAGCACTGCCATAGACTCAACACTGTCCACAGACTCAGCACTGCCCACAGACTCAGCACTGCCCACAGACTCAGCACTGCCCATAGGCTCATCACTGCCCACAGACTCAGCACTGCCATAGACTCAACACTGCCCATAGACTCAGCACTGCCCATAGACTCAGCACTGCCATAGACTCAACACTGCCCATAGACTCAACACTGCCCATAGACTCAGCACTGCCATAGACTCAGCACTGCCATAGACTCAGCACTGCCATAGACTCAACACTGTCCACAGACTCAGCACTGCCCACAGACTCAGCACTGCCCATAGGCTCAGCACTGCCCATAGACTCAGCACTGCCCATAGACTCAACACTGCCCATAGACTCAGCACTGCCCATAGACTCAACACTGCACCATAGACTCAACACTGCCCATAGACTCAACACTGCCCATAGACTCAGCACTGCCCATAGACTCAACACTGCACCATAGACTCAGCACTGCCCATAGACTCAGCACTGCCATAGACTCAACACTGTCCACAGACTCAGCACTGCCCACAGACTCAGCACTGCCCATAGGCTCAGCACTGCCCATAGACTCAGCACTGCCCATAGACTCAACACTGCCCATAGACTCAGCATTGCCCTTAGACTCAACACTGCACCATAGACTCAACACTGCCCATAGACTCAACACTACACATAGACTCAACACTGCCCATAGACTCAACACTGCCATAGACTCAACACTGCCCATAGACTCAACACTGCCATAGACTCAACACTGCCATAGACTCAACACTGCCATAGACTCAGCACTGCCATAGACTCAACACTGCACCATAGACTCAACACTGCCCATACACTCAGCACTGCCCATAGACTCAACACTGCCCATAGACTCAACACTGCCCATATACTCAACACTGCCCATATACTCAACACTGCCCATAGACTCAGCACTGCCCATAGACTCAGCACTGCCCATAGACTCAGCACTGCCCATAGACTCAGCACTGCACCATAGACTCAACACTGCCCATAGACTCAACACTGCCCATATACTCAACACTACCCATAGACTCAACACTGCCATAGACTCAACACTGCCCATAGACTCAACACTGCCTATAGACTCAACACTGCCATAGACTCAACACTGCCCATAGACTCAACACTGCCCATAGACTCAGCACTACCCATAGACTCAACACTACCCATAGACTCAACACTGCCATAGACTCAACACTGCCATAGACTCAGCACAGCAGTAGTCTGAGCCTCTGCTGCATTTCGCTCGCCACAGGTGAGGAGGTGGAGGAGAAGGCCGCTTCCTCTCTGCCCGTCGAGCCGTTCGTCGTTAAGCGAGAAGACAACGATGATGATGAGGAGGAGGAGGCTGGGATTGAGATGTGGCTCCCGGTGAAGGTGGAGAGAGAAGACGGCGACGACCGTGAGTAGTCGAGCGTTTGGTGTCCCGCTCCCAAGGACAACCCGAACCAATGCACAATATCCACGTGATGAGACAAACAAGACAAAGATCCCCCGTATAGCCTTAACAGACTGTCGGGGCAAATGCTGTTAGCGAGCACCTATGAAGGCCGGCATGGCACACGAGGGTAGGCCTCGGCAAGGTAAGGTAAAAGTTAAAAGGTAAAAACAACGAGCCTACCTTTACCCTACCTTTTACCTTACCACAATACAATCACTCTACCCTACCTTTTACCCTTCAGCAGGTAAGGTTAAAGGTAAAAGGGAAAAAGCAACGAGCTTACCTTTACCCTACCTTTTACCCTTACCCCATACAAATTACCGATTACAGGGTAATTACTAGGGAACTACTGCACATGAACAAGGTTTATAACGGTAAATGCTACAAGGTAGAGCGCTTTATTCATATAGAATACTCTCGATAATTCCAATTTTACACGCTTTTAACTCACTCTTGTCTGTTGTTGTTGTCGTTGTTGTCATTATTGTTGTTGTATCCTAAAATCTTGAAACTCAATTTTTACCCACTTCCTAATGTGGTATCTACTGCAAACTTGGTATACTTAGGTCATACTGATGACAATACTATATTCTATCATTAAACATTTATAGATTTTTAAACATTATTTTTTATATGTTATGTTTCGGCTTGGGTCTAATTGTCCTCGCTCAACTCACGTTGGCTGTAAAACACCACGGTCCCTTACGTTATGGAAAGCTTTGCGGCCACTTCCTGGAGTTGTGGATTTCTTTAATTATTAGTACATTTAATAAAAGCGTGTTTTTAATAAAGTTTGTTTTAATATTACTTTTTAAATGGAGGCCACGGACTGCACGACGGAGCTTTTAGCGGTAAACAAGGCACCGTATTTACCGGGTATTACTTCGCGCTTCCTTTATCCTACCGGGTAATTCTTCCGAGCTACCTTTACCTTACCCCTTGGCATGTCGACATCTTTACCTTTACCCTTTTACCCGGTAAAAAGGGTAAATTACCTTACCTTGCCGAGGCCTACACGAGGGGGTGGGCGGCCAACACCATGCCCGGCCGCCGTTATCTCCCCAGTGGCGATGTTTACACATCGCGCCAGGTACTCATTTGAAGGCTGAGTCGACCTTGGGGAGGCCCGAGACCGGTTCAGATAATCGTCACTGGGTGTTGGCCGTGAGCGGGAATCGAACCCGGGTCACCAGGTTCATAGCGCAGCGTAGCACTAACCGCTACGCTACCACTCCCCACACACACACTTGGGATATAATGGCGCTGTGTTCCTATCGCAAGGTACTGCCCGTGCACGGCAACAACTGCCGTTCGTCACCAAGCGGGCAGTGACGGGACGACGGCGCTTTGTGCCATGCTAGGTGCACTTTGAGGCCAGGTGAATTGTTGAAGCCTCCTCCCATTAACACATTCCTGCTGAGGGAGCTGGTAGTAACGTTGGGTTGGTCGTTCAATGGTCAGGGTCAACGGCGGCGTGGTGTATTCCGCAAATATGGCCGACTGTGAGGGCTTGTCCAGCCTCCTCACCCAGCCCCTCCCCACCCTCCCCTCTCCACCCAGCCCCACCCATTTTTGGATGTACGACGGACGGACAAAATAATCCCCTTTGGGCTGGTATAACCAGGAGGTTACTACCAATATTATTGAGCTGATCTGGCCCATGCCTTCCAATCACTCCAGCCCAGGTGTTTGCATCGTGACCCACTGAGACATTAAGAGTCACCCAACGCGATGACTCCATCCCGAGGGGCCACTTTAGCCCGCACCTGGGACAGGAGGTCATAGAAGGCATTTGACTCATCAGCCTTTTCTGTATCCCTCCATTGATGTTCATCTTTCCCTGGGGGCATAAGCAACCACCACCACCATTCCTTACCGCCCGTTAATGGGAAGGCGAGTCCACAGTAGCCTGGGAACCACAGCTTCCCCACACCTCACTCCCACGCTCCCACATGTACGTGCACACGTTTACACACAAAAAAAACAACGAAGCACTTTGCCCCCTTCCGTTTGTGTGGAACAGCATTCAGACGCTTGCCGGATCTGAAAGAGAACGTTCAACTTGGCGGAGCAGACATTCGCGGCGAGGAAGAAGAAGATGATTGTCAGCCAGGCGGCGGTGGCCGTGGTTCCACCGTGAGGTCCGGCGAGCCTCGGGTGCAGCGTAGAGGCCGGGCGGCAGCGGCTTCACGGTCGGACGTGGCGGAGATCGAGGTGGAGCTGGGGGACGACATTGACGGTAGGGAGGGGTTGGGGGGAGAGGGGGGGAGGGAGGGAGGGAGGGAGGGAGGGAGGGAGGGAGAGGAGGGAGGGAGGGGAGGGAGTGGAGGGAGGGAGTCTGAGTGGGAGGATGGGAGAGTGGAAGGGGCGGGGAGGAAGACACCAGGGGGGTGGGGATTAGGGGAGGGAGACGGGGAGAGGAGGGAGGGAGACGTAGAGGGAGGGAGGGGAAGGAGGGGAGGGAGGAATGGGAGGGAGACGGGGAGAGAGGGAGGGAGCCCCCCGTCTGTCTGCGTCAAGTGAAAAGGCAACGGCTGGCGCGGAGATCTGAGCACCGGCCACGTCAACCAAGGCCGTAGCCATGGAGTCAACATTGGGGGGGACCAAATCTTCCAGGGGGTCTGGGGTCCCCCCCCCAGAAAAAAATCTAAATTTGAAAACTCATTTCCTGCCTAAAATATAAAAAAATTCAAAAAGACATGGGATGGACTTTTTATTTTATTTTTTATAATAATGTCTAATAGTGTATTGTATTACATTGCTCTGTTTTTACTTTTTTTTCAGCTTTTCTTGTTTCATTGCATTCAATGTCAGAGATTAGGGATTCATAAAGTACAACCATAACCACAATCATATGAACAGACATCTATTTGATAGCAATATATTGGGGGGGACATTTTGAGCATATTTATTATAATTACGGCCTTGACGTCAACACTCGGAGTCACAAATATAAACGCCTTGCCCCTTCGCTAATTATCGAGGTCTAGACAAAGCCCTCTAACCCTTTTCTAGGTTCATAAGAGGTGTCATCTCATTCTTGCATTCGAATTTTTTTAGCAATCTTGACTTCAAGCTTTCGTGACTGCCAGAATCCATTCTCTGTGGTTCTTTCGGTAAAGTCACGTAGGTAGAGAAATAAATAATAAATCACGACGTTTCGGGCGCAACGCAAGCATCCGTCATCAGGTGGGAAAGCATGGCCTGCTGCTGATGCAGACTGTTTTAAAAGGTTGTTATTCTCAATGTTGTTATTCATCAACACGCTCCGTTTAGTGAAATGCATTAGCCTCAGAATGTTGTTATTCACCAGCACGCTCCGTTTAATGAAATGGGTTGGCCTCAGCCTGCCACCGCCCGCTCGCGCACGTTGCCAAATCCTTCGTGCTCATCTTGCTCCGTCTTTTGTTCTCGCGCGTGCTCCTTTCAATCCTGCGGCAGACTGCGAGAGCCCGGCCAATGGCGACGGCCCCAAGACACTCTCTTGCCCCGTCTGCGGCAGGGGCTTCGTCAAGGCGCGCGCGTTCAGCGACCACGTGAGGCGCCACCGGGCCGAGCCCGGCGCGCGACGCGCGGGTCGCAGCGACCCCCGTCCGCTCATAACGAAGCTCAAGGTCGCCTCCGAGAGGCGCGGAGCGACGGGCGCCGCCCCCCCCGCTGAGAGGCCCTTCAAGTGCCTGCTGTGCGACAGAGACTTCAAGTACAAGAAGTGCCTCAAGGTCCACGCGCGGACCCACACGGGCGAACGACCCCACGTGTGCCCGGTGTGCGGCAAGGCCTTCGCGTGGCGGACGCAGCTCGGCTACCACGCGCGGACCCACACGGGCGAGCGGCCGCACGCGTGCCCCGTGTGCGGCAGGGCCTTCACGGCGTCCTCGGAGCTGAAGATCCACGCGCGGACGCACACGGGCGAGGACCTGCACGTGTGCCCCGTGTGCGGCCGGAGCTTCACGCTGTCGGGCAAGCTCAAGCTGCACACGCGGATCCACACGGGCGAGAGGCCGTGCGACTGCACCGTGTGCGGCAAGGCCTTCAGGCGGCCGGGGGACCTCAACTCTCACATGAGGACTCACACAGGCGAGAAGCCGCACCTGTGCCCCGTGTGCGGCAAGGGCTTCGCGTGGTCCAGCAACCTGAAAGTACACGCGAAGACCCACACGGGCGAGAGGCCGTACGGGTGTCCCGTGTGCGGCAAGGACTTCGCGCGGCAGGGGGACCTCAACTGCCACGCGAAGACGCACACCGGCGAGAGGCCGCACCTGTGCTCCGTGTGTGGCAAGGGCTTTGCCGAATCGGGGAAGCTCAGGGAGCACACGAGGTGCCACACAGGGGAGAAGCCGCACGCGTGCTCCACGTGCGGAAAGGCCTTCGCGCAGTCGTCCAAGCTGAAGAACCACGTGGCCATCCACGCCGAGAGGCCGCACATGTGCCCCGTGTGCAAGAAGACGTTCGCCGATCCGACGAAGCTCGAGGCCCACGCGGGCACCCACGCCGAGGCGGGGGAGGGGGAGGAGGAAAAGGAGAAATCCGGGTCGGCCGTGCAAACAACGGCGGGCTGCGGTAGATGCCCGGCCGCCGAGAGACACGCGTGCCCCGTGTGCGGGAGGGGCTTCCCCGGGCGGCAGAAGCTGGAGCTGCACGTGAGGACGCACACGGGGGAGAGGCCGTGCAAGTGCGGCGTGTGCGGGAAGGGATTCGCGCAGCCGTCGAGCCTCAAGACCCACGTGGCGACCCACGGCGGCGAGAAGCCCCACCTCTGCCCGGTGTGCGGCAAGACGTTCACGCAGTCGGGCAGCCTGAGGACGCACGCCAGGCTGCACGCGGGCGAGAGGACTTTCCCGCGGCTGACGGACCTCGACGGCCACGCCAAGACCCACCACGCCGCGGAGGCGGGCGGCGGCGACGGCGGCGGCTGCACCGGCAAGGAGAAGCCGCACGCCTGCGCCGCGTGCGGCAAGGCCTTCCCCGAGGCGGGGAACCTCCGCAAGCACGAGAGGACGCATGCCGGCGAGCGGCCGCACCGCTGCTCCGCGTGCGGCAAGGCCTTCGTCCTGCCCGAGAGCCTCCGCGTGCTCGAGAAGGGGCACGCGGGCGAGAGGCCCCACGCCTGCCCCGCGTGCGGCAAGGCCTTCCAGGTGGCCAATCAGCTGCGGCGGCACCTGCGGACGCACGAGGATGAGAGGCCGTTCGCGTGCGGAGCCTGCGCCAAGGCCTTTGCCGAGCCGGGGAAGCTGCGCAAGCACCTGAGGACGCACGCCGGCAAGAGGCCGCACGAGTGCGATGCGTGCGGCAGGGCCTTCGCCGAGAGGGAGTACCTCCGCAAGCACCAGCGGACGCACGCCACTGATGGCGCCAACCCGACGGAGTGAATTGCGAGGGACGAATCGGGTCGCGGATCCACGGGCGGGAGAGCCCATGCCCGAACAGTTGATTGACGCTCTCTCGAGAGAGAATACGAAAGCGCTGATTATTGAGACTTTAAGATTGTATTCATTTCAGGCCCCCAGTGTTTTGAGTGTTTTGAGTTTATGTTGATTCATTACGTGGATAACGGTCCCGTTCATCCAGTTGCCCGGCTATTTTACACGGGAGATTTCCGGGTGCTGTGCGAGCACGGTAGAAGCAGCGGCAGCAGCAGCAACAAAGACTACAGCGTCAACATTAATGAAAAATAGGAATAGGTTTTAACCTTTTTGGCAATAAAACGGGAGTTGTGTTATGATGTTCAAACGCCAAATAGATTAAACCTTTTGCAAGGCATCATGTCTGCATTAACCACACATTCGTGTGGCAAAACATGCAAAAATATATACTATGATAATGTATACATTATGTTTGAAATTGATTGGCCTTGTCTCACCGGTGTTAGACCAGAGAACGCCGAAAGGAGACCAGTTCAAAGACGACACAAATATCAGAGCACTTATAGCTCAAGTCGAGCAGTTACATCTACGATACATTTTTGCCAGTGTAAAATATTACGAAAAATACGAATAGAACCCTTTCCGCCGGTAAAGCAGAAGCTGTACATCATTAGACCTCCTTTGCCAGTACCAAAATATAATAATAGGGTGTTTCCACTTTTTTCTGGCAACACAACTGAAACCTTTTTTACGAGGCATCATGTCTGCATTAACCACAATACTTGTGGTCAAAATGCACGCCTTTTGGCGTCCTCTGGTCGAGCACCAATTGAGACGAGGTTCAAAAGAAAGCTGTCTGGTGTGGACCAATCAGTTTCAAGGGCAGTGCATCATTATCAGTGTGTTTTTTTGCATTTAGACCACAAGCATTGTGGTTAATGGAGACACGATTCTTCGTAAAAAGGTTTCAGTTTTGTTGCTAGAAAAAAGGGGGAAAACCCCGCTATTATTAAAACAGAAGCTGTGTTTAGATGCTGAAACACCAAATAGACGATAGCTGTACTTGCAAGGCATCGAATATACAACATCGACATTGCAGGGAACGGGTCCAGCAGGGTCCTCAAGGAATATTTGACGAGGAATAAACGTGAACTAAACTCGCGCGAATCAAAACTATGGTGTTGACTTAAAGCTTTCGTGACTGCAGGAATTCATATTCTTTGGGTCTTTCGGTAAAGTGACGTAGATAGGATCAAATTAATAAAAGAAAAAATAATAAATGTAATACTAATTATTGTATTTTTATGAATTTGATCCCATCTACGTGATTTGACCGAAAGAACCAAAGAATTAACAAAAAATGGTGCTTAAGTAATACCGTAAAAACCGTAAACCGTATTTATTTTAAATGTACAGGCAAACCCCCCACCCCCCCCGGGTTATGGAAGGGTTAGGTTCCCGAGAAATATCCGTAACCCGAATTTTCCGTGTGTCAGAAACTGAACAATTCCCCGCCCCCCCCCCCAAAAATCAACGATAAAATCGCATGTTGGAAAATAGCTGTGCTTCCTCTACCCAATTTACTCTTTCGTTTTCTGTCACTACTGCAGCGCACTTTCGTCCGTGTTGTACCGCTTACCTGCATCATATCGCTGCACTTCCTGTGATTCTTTCATTTAATCAAATAGCTACCCTGACACTACCCACAAATAAACGAATAGGTTATATCCTGTACTGTGTCCAATTGCTTTGTGAATACCATGAAGCATAGGAAACAAACGACTATGTAATGCTACGAAAGGAAAAGGGACGATGTGGCGGTTAGAGGTCTACTCAGGGTAACAATGTAGTGACTCGCAGTGTTATACAGAACACCACCGCTTTGGTGGAATATGCGGCCCTGCCTTATGCCTCGCTCCGAGGTATTCATCCGTAACCTCACCACGCTTGCACTATTTACGCATGCTGTATTTTTTTTTAATGTACAAGATTTATGGGAGCATTTCCTTTTAAGTCGGATTTCCGTGAGTCGGGTTTTTCGTAACCCGGGGCACTGCCTGTAATATCACCTCCACTTAAAGGCGTATCAAAGCATTGTACACTAAAACAAAATGCAAAGACAATAAAATATTGTTTCGGTAAAAGCCATGAGAAAATAGTGAGTCTTGCACTCCCTCCGGATCACCGCTGGCAAGGCATTCCAGATCCTCGGGGGGCAACACTTGAGAAGGCCTGACCCCCCCAGCGTCAAGCACAAGAGCCAAGGCTGGGAGAGTAGTAAGGTCCAGAAGAGTGGTGTATAGACCACAGTCGTATCACAGATCAGTCGGACCCGCGGGTGCATTGGTCCAAGTCTATTCAGCCCTTTATAGGCCAGAATGGCAAACTTATACTGGATGCGAAAGCTTACTTGGAGGCCAGTGCAGATCGCGGAGAGTGGGAGTGATGTGCTCGAAGCCGCTGAGAGAGCAAGCAAGACAAGGGCTGATATCTGTCCCCTATCCATGGACTGAATACGATCGGGGGCATAGGCACCGCCGGTTCAGCCATCAGCCAATCGGTTGGATGCGCCAAGTTCAAGGGCGGAGCTCAAGGGTTCTTGTGGATAACCATCCAGAAGGTTCGTGAGGGGGCGTGGCTATAGGCGGGGCTTGGTGACGTGGGTGAAGGGTTATAAGGGGAAGCAGGAAGCTGCTCGGGGTCAGTGTGTAGAGTCTCGAGGCGAGACCACGTCTCCTTGTGCGCAGTCTGCCAGCGGCACGCGGGAGCGGGGGGAGCGGGAGCGAGCCGTGCGCTGAGCGACAACATCTAACGCGCGGAACGAGAGTGGAGCACTGTCGGTGTGAAGAGAACGTGGTGCTGTCCGGCCGACGAAAAATGAATAATAAAGAAGACACGAACTACAGATCGTGGTCGAAGTGCTTTATTACACATGGACCGAAGAAGGTCATGAGCCACACAAACGCGGGCCGTCTCTGTGCTGCGAGTGGCTCGAAAGCCGGACTTGGGTAATACAAAAAAAAACTACCGGACTCGAGACAATGTTCTGACAGGGTTGAAACCTCCTCCAACAACTTCCCCAGAAATGGGACGTTGGAGATTGGGCGATAGTTTGCCAGTATATCTACACCTAGTCCCGGCTTCTTCAGAAATGGTCGCACCAGGGCATTTTTCAGGGACCACAGGCACCTACCTCGCCGTTCGAAAGGGAGGAATTGATGATTGACGTAAGCATTGGGGCTACTGTCTCCAAACCACAGGCGGTCCAAGCAAGTTGCCAGAGGGCTGAGGAAGAAATTGGGGCAAACCTATCCAGAAATTGAGTTTTTGCCATGAGGCTGACCATGTATTGCGGATTAAATGAATATTGTCAGTGAAAAACTGATGTAATTGTCTGCAGCGCTCAAAAGAAGGAATAATCCTGATAGTTGTACAATCAGGATGTAACAAACTGTCCACCATCCTCAATAGCTAACCGGGGTGGTTCCTTGACAAAAACATTTTCCTGGCAATAAAATGTCCGTTGGCCAGAAAGACCGCCTTAAAGCAATCGTGTTGATGAGCCACCAGAGATTTCCGGTCAACATCACAATGAGATATACGGCGACCACGTTCCTCCTTCCGAAGTCCCCGCTTCCACGAGTGGAATACCAAGGAGCAGGCACCCACTGGGCAAGTGGGAACTAACCGACAAGGAGCGATATCATCGGTGGCAGAGCGAAATCTGCCATCATACTTCTCAAGTTGCTCAACGGTGGAGCACCGAGATTTGAAGTTTTCTTGACTGCAGGAATCCATACTCTTTGGTTCTTTCGGTAAAGTTACGTTAGTATAAAATAAAATAAATCACGACGTTTCGATTGCAACACAAGCAATCATCATCAGGTGGGAAAACCACAGCAAGAAAAAAAGTGTTTTTGCTGAAGTGGGAGAGAGATGCCGTTATTAGCCAGGTAAAACCCTAACAGCTTTATAGTGGTTGTCGTCTATCATACCTGCCGGGTACTGACTGGTTTATTTTTACACGCTTTTATTTAACTCACTCCATCTGTTGTATCCTCAAAAAAGAAATCTTGCAAACTCAATTTTTGCCCACTTCCCAATGTGCTATCGACTGATAACTTGAAATACCTATGTCATACTGATGACAATACTATATTCTATCATAACAAATCCAAACACACATTTTTAAACATTTTACACGCTTTTATTTAACTTACTCTGTGTGTTGTCGTATCATAAAATCTTGTAACTCAATTTCAACCGTATTCCCAATGTATCGACTGCAAACTTGGTATAGGTTTGTCCTTGAGGGAGGCTCCGCACATACAGTGCCACTCGCTCGGCTCTGTCACTACACTACAGTCACATCATTTAGGGGCCGTCCATAAATGACGTCACGCACCTGGGAGGGGGGGGTCAGACATTTCTGACGATGTGTGACGAAGGGGGGGGGGGGGTGAGAAATGTGACGTCACATCAAAATGCGCAACTTTAAATAAATATAGAATTGTTATAACAACACTCCTACAACATCAGAGTGCAGCGCCACATTAAATACGCACTACAATGACAATAGTTTAAAGCGATTTGAAGCATATTCTTAGGTTTTTTCGGTAAAGTCACGTAGGTAAAAAATTAAAATTAGTAAAAGTAAAAAAATAAAAATCACGACGTTTCGGAGGCAACACAAGCTTCCGTCTTCAGGTGGAACCGTCACAGCCACGACAACTGTATCACCTGAAGACGGAAACTTGTGTTGCCTCTGAAACGTCGTGATTTTTATTTTATTTTACTTTTATTAATTTTATTCATTTTAATTTTTTACCTACGTGACTTTACCGAAAAAACCTAAGAATATGAATCCTTGCAGTCACGAAAGCTTCAAATCTAGAACGATTTGAAGCATGTTTTATTTTCAAAATGGAAATATGGTTTTGGGGGAGGGCAGAGGTTTGTGACGTCATATTTGAGGGGGGGTCTGACTTTGTGACACCGTGTGACGAGGGGGGGGGGGTCAAAAATCGTCCAAAATCGCGTGACGTCATTAATGGACGGCCACATCCCATCCAGTGTGTATATCGTTACTCGTGGTGGTCACCACCCTTAGTGGTTATCCAGTTAAGTAGAGAGTTACCTTGACTTAAAGCTTTCGTGAATGCAGGGATTCATATTCTGAAGGTCTTTCGGTAAAGCCACATAGATAGAAAAAATAAAAAAATATCACGACGTTTTTATCGCAACAAGCAATCGTCATCACTAAAGTCACGTAGGTATAAAATAAAATAAACCACAAGCATCCGTGATCAGCAGCCTCAGACCATGCTTATCCCACCTGATGATGGACGCTTGTGTTGCACCCGAAACATCGTGATTTATGTTATTTTATTTTCTACCTACGTGACTCTACCGAAAGAATAAAAGAGTTTGGATTCCTGCAGTCACGAAAGCTCCAAATCAAAATCGTCATCAGGTGAGCGAGCGCCAATGAAGGCCGGCACACGAGGGGTGGGTGGCCAGCACCACGCCCTGCCTCAACAGCTCTCCCGCTTTATTGTTTCACCTGATGATGATTGCTTGTGTTGCGATCGAAACGTGATATTTTTAAAACAAAAAATTCAACGGTTTTATTTATCTCGACTCCCGTTTGTCATGGTCAAATCTTGTAATCAAAATTTAGTCTACGGCCTGTTGTCCAATAAATTCGAAATGTTGCTGACGTACTCAGATCCGGTGACAATGCACGCCTGTGTAGTGATTGTAGCGTCACTACTGTGTACACACCCACACGTGTGACGTCACTATGCCGGGAGCGTCACTACCACGTGAGTCTACACACACACATGACGTCATCCTGACTGGAGGCGGGAATGACGTCAGGGCCGGTTCTGGGCTCGGGAGGCCACGGGGGTGGTGTGAGGTCGTGGCACGCTCTGTGATCCCGGCTGGACACGTGACCGGATCCCAGTGGGGGGCCGGGGGCCCAGGGCGCACCTCGGGGGGCACGTGGACAGCAGGGGGGCTTCGAGAGGGTTCTCAAAGGGAGGCGTGGCCGGGGTGGGGCCCGGGCAAGCCGAGGCCCATATAAGCAGCCTCACGAGGTTCGAGCCGGCCCATGCCAAGAATGAAGATGCATCGTGAAGACGCCAAGAAGAGTCAAGCCTCCAGTCAGCGGACCTGCCAGTAGCCCACCTGGCTGGGTCACGCTAGAGTAGCTGAGCGTTAGAGAAGTGTGTGTTAGCTAGAGTTTGTCGGTGGTCACCACCCTATGTGTAATGTACAGTGTTATAATACTTACTGTTCTAATAAATTAGTGTTGCCTCCCAAGAAGTGTGTGCGCCTAAATTGAACCCACTACATTTTGTGTTAGAAGTGGCTAACGTTAGGTGTTATCCTAGTCAGTATAATATGCGCACGATTACTATAACTTACCTGGATGCTTTCACACGACGGGGATGGCAGGAAGATCATCTTCCGGGCAGCCCCGGGGTCTGCAGCCCCAGTAAAGCAGGGAGAGGGTGCTGCAGGCGGGGCAGCAGGTCGCACATCACGTCGCTGCTTCGTTGCCATCGAGAGAGCGCCGGAGCTGGAGGGGAGAGAACGCCGCCGCAGCTGCGGGTGCCTGGGCGGGAAATTCGCGCAGGAAATTCGTGTACCACGCGCGCGCGGCCGCCATCTTGGCGGTGGGTCGGAACGCCGTTGCCGCCATTTTCAACACCTGCGGAGGGAGATTTTTCGGCCGTCTCGGTGGCATCCTGTTGCAAGAGGTTGCCGTGCTCACCATCCAAGATTCTTCAAGTTCCACCCTGCCATCCTCACAGCCTCTAAGGCGAGTCGTGACACAATGCACCCAGCCCTAATAACACACCTCACCCATCTTACGCATGCCGGGTTGCGTTTGCGTGTTGTATTTTGCTTTCTGGGCTGTGGTACGTGTTTTTCTGGCTGTGTGAGTGTAGAATGAACGCGGCGT